TATATTAATCGATGTTCTATGATAAAAATAAACAAACAGAAATAAAATAAAAATAAAAATAATAAAAAATAAAAAAATGAAAATCTATCTAAGCCCGGATATCATGTCACGGGAAACCGTGACAATATATCGACACAGCAACCACGTGACTTATCTCTTTATCAGCACAACAATGATTGGCAGCGAAATGACAAACAACTACAAAGCCAACTTCGACGAACTTTTTTTTTTATTGAGTTCTATTGATTTGTAGAATTCAAATAAAAAAAAACTTAATTGAATTTGGCCCGGTAATTGTAGAGATATCTTCGCTCAAAGTTTAAAGTCTATCAAAAAAAAAATAAAAGCTGCATCAAAATTTTTTCTAAGTTTGAACGAAGATATCTCGATAATCTCTGAGCCAAATTTGATGAACTTTTTTATTTGAATTCTAAAAATTAGTAAAATTCAATTAAAAAAAGTTCATCAAAGTTGGCTTGGTGGCTGTTGAGATATCTTCATACAAAGTTAGAAAAAATTTGGTGCAGCTTCTATTTTGATAAACATTTCAACTTTTGAAGATATATCAACAACTACCAAGCCAAATTTGATGAATTTTTTTATTTGGAATTCTACAGATTTGTAGAATTAAAATAAATAAATTCACTTGACTTGGAATCTCTGTTAAAATTAGCAAAATTTTAACGCTTCTATTTCAATAATAGGTTGAATTTTTTCAAACTTTGACCGAGGATATCTCGTCAAGTACCAGGCAAAATCCTATTTATTTGAATTATATGAATTATTAGAATTCAAATAAAAAAAAGGTTCGTCATAGTTGGCTTAGTGGTTGTTATGATATCTTCGCTCAAATTTCCATTTCACTATGTCAATCGTTGCTGTGCCGATAAAGGAGTAAGTCACGCGATTGCTTTTTAATCATATTCGTACAGTGTAGGAAATCTAAAATAAACACATTGGAGACAAGCTAAATCTAGTTACAAAAGGTAAATATAAAATTTATTATTTTGATTAATCATATTAAGCAAAAATATTTCTTTAATAATTTAATCTTTTTTGCCTAAATAAATTAAATTTGTTTTTTTAAAAGTGAAAAACATTACAACTTATTCTGTAAGACTGTAAGTAGGTATAATAGATTTGAATAGAAAGTTGTAACTGATCCTAATAAAGTTTTTGCACTAATTATATATACAATTATGCTAAATATATCAACATTTTTACAAATTATATCCTAAATTATGAAATATGCTTTGGTATACTGTATAAACTATGCTATTAAATATACTATATGTTTAAAATTAGTATATTATGTTATTGCATGTCTTTATTGTGAAAATAAAATTATTAGAATATTGAATTATAACATATATGGAATCAATTTACCAGAGATTGATACGTATACTAGAAACAATAATAAATATTCAGGAATAGCTTTTAAATACTTCACTTACTAAATATTTGTTCTATTTAAAATTAACACGAATATAAATTAAGAAAATTCTCAATATAAATTTTATTATAAACGCTTAAGGATAGCAATGGTAAATAAAAATTTTATTGTGTAAATAAAAAAAATTGAAAAATTAAAGTTACCACTCAAATCTATAATTTCTGAATTCAAAATTTCAACGAAATATATGCTAGCTTTATCGCGCGAAAAATACATCTCTAGTTACTGTCAGTGTTCTAAGCTTTTCGTCAGTATTTTAAACATACTCAATCGTATTTGTGTACAAGAATATCGATCGTATAGTTATAATATCACAATTTTTCAGAAGTCTGGTACGATGAAAACTTAAATTTGCACTTATTGATTTTTCCTTGGTAAAGCATTTATTTCTATAGCCCTAACATCTTATCACAGAAGTTTTTACTGATTATCTTTTTTTTTCAATATTCTAATATTTCATTCAGTACGTATTTATAAAGATTGTTTTTAGGAGACTATATTATCACTTCGCACAGCTAAGGATTTGTATCGTCAAACAGTTAAGTTAAATTTTTTAAATTCTTTAGAATTTGTTTATTTAATTTATACGTAGTTAAAGTAAAGTATCTGTAAAGTTAGAAAAAATAAATTATACTGGAATGACCACTATAAAAAGAAACCTCCCTAGATCGAGAGTTTTCAAAATAAAAAATACCATATAATATAAAATATAAAGCATATTTAAATATTGAATTCAGGTTATTTTTGTTCTTTACTAGATAAAATAGACCAAAGACTATCAATTCTCTTTTCTAGCCAGTCTATAAATTTCAAGCCTTCAACCCATTCTTTAGGTAACTTATTATATCCAATCCTGGCGCCTAATAAAGCTCCGGCTACTGCTCCATTTGTATCAGCATCTCTAAATTTTTAAGAAATGATTAAAAAAAGAAGATATACATAAATACCAGATATTAGTGCACATGATATTAAGCTGTATTAAGCAAATAATTTACCCAGCTTCCAGTATCAGCTCCGTGATAATCTTCTTAAAAGCATCACCTTCACTACTTTGTTTGTTCAAATTTCTCGTAAAGCAATACAACCCAGCACCAAGACACTTGTAAACATATCCAATGCCTGAGGATTCATCCAATTTCAAATCAGCCAAAGTATCGGGAAAACAATGTTGCAAAAGAGCAATTTCGCTCATATCTGTCTGAAATTTACTGAATCGAGAGCCTTTTGTAAGTTCTACTTTGTTAGGTGATGCGGTATTGATCATGAACTTATATCTATCAACTACAGATTTTGTTAAAGCTAGTATTTCAGGGTCAGCACCGAAAGTGTCCATTCCAGGAGGTAAAGGATCCGGAATTTCTGGAACTTCACGATCTTGTTTTGAACTATTTAAACTAGCATTAATTTTTTTCTGACGTTCATACCATAATGTCTCTTGGTCATTTTTATCAGAAAGAAAGGTTCCTACTTTGTTTACTACTTGCTTAGCAAAGCTTTTCCTTTTTGATGATTCGTTTTTCAGTGGAAGATCATCATTATCAATATTATCATCTATTTTATTATCAGGATTTCCAGATTGCATCCATGACAATATATTTTGCTTTGTCGAATCATCTAAGTCTGGAAGGGATTCTTGTATATTTCCTTGAATTAATCTTGAAATTAAAATAGTAACAATCACACTAGAAACGCAGCATCTTGGGTCAGCATGAGTAGTTTTAGTAGCTTGTAAAGTTTGTTTAATTACTTGTTTTTCATCCCAAAAGAAAGGAAAACCCAATATTGCAGTACGCATTAAAGCACCATTTGCAGCCATGTTACAATTAAATTGAATCCATGTATCCCAAGCAGCACGATGTGGCTGTCTCATGAATTTTGAATGTCTCAATACGGTACCAACAGTTTTACCAATTCCATTTGGTGGTTTATTGTCGAGTTCTGGGTATCCATCATCAACCCATTTGCTTAAACGTTTTGCGAAATCCCGTGTATTGAATATGCCATTGGAGCAAAGTAAAGAGTCGATAATAAGAAGTTGTTGATCTATTAAAATAATAATATTGATAATAATAATAATAAATAATAATAATATATTATAATTATTATTATTATTAAGCAAAATGAAATTTATATTAAATCAAACAAACTAATATTCAAATGTTATATTCAAATTTAAAGATAAGATTCTTTTTATCTACCAGTATCATCAGTCCATTCACCCTCAAACCATTTTCCTCTATGTCTATCAACATAAAATTTATAACCTTTATCACTACCAAAAGATATAGGACCAATGCCATATAATTTTTTAGCTCTTTCTTTACTTAAAAATTCTGTGGCAAGACCCACTGCATCACCTAATGCAGCACCTAAAGAAATAGCGTAACGAAAAACTTTAATAAACAAAAATGTACGAAATTATATCACTAAGCAAATTTATTGTAACAGTTATAATCATACCAAAAATACATCCTTTCAATTTATCATAAATCTCATCATTACTAAGTTTAGACGCATTCTCAGGCAAACTCATTTTATTTCGTTTTATTTTTTTTCGTATTTGACTTGAAAAAGAACGTATGTATGTGTTTTTATTAACAATGTTAAACATAAATTTTTTTAATTTATTACGGAGTTGCGTTCCGTAACTATGTGATAAATTCCCAAACAAGTATACACCTGCGGAATCTGCGCACAACTACAATTTTTAATTGTTTTATTCCTTTATTTTATTTATCGGTATTTTCAGAAATAATGGATTACTTAAAAGAAATTTCTTTTATAATCTGATGTCATTTATAAAAAAAGATCAATTTATTTTAAAACGTGGGACTACCGCTACTCTGTGAATAAACAAATACAAATTAGCATTAGTATTTTTAATAATATAAATGGTAAACAATGTGGGATTAATATTAATATTAATAATATGTTACAACCGGTTAAAAAGTGCTCGTACGCATGCAATTTAATGCTGATCATAACAAAAAAAAAGAACCAATTAATGTTACAGTAGCATTAGTCATTTAAATTGCGATTATTTTCTGCGGTTACTTAATTCGTAGTCTCCCTGTGATAATTCTATAATTTTGGATAAAGATTCAGATTCCAGGGTATTTTATTAGTTTTATTTATCATATTTAATGATTTAAATGAATTTTAGAAGACTCAGGATGCATGTTTGTCTGGTTGCCCGAAGCGGAGTGGAAGACTCTACTGTCCAGACCTGTCACCGGTCGCTCGTATTAATATAACTCACCTAGTATCACCACCAGTTGTTTGAAATTTCAGATCCAAATACTGTTTTCATGAGAACACTATAATAACTATAGGTGTTCTCAAACTAATATTTTATGTTCAAAAAAGCACCCAACAATACTGTTTATCGGAAAAGTACTAAGGATCAAAATACACGTATAAATTTTCAGCATAAAATTTGTGCTAAACATACGATTTATTAAATAAATATAATACTGTATACATCAAATTGTAAGTTTAATAAAATATTATATTTTTGAAAAGAATTTTAAAAAAAATGAATTTAATAATTATTATCCTCTCGACACACTTATTACATATTTATGGTGAACAGTAAAAAATTTATACTGTGCACAAATTTATAGTAGTACGTACGTACATACGGAGATTTCACCGATAATACTGTAATAAGTATGTGAATGTAAATACATCTTAAGTATTTGAATTTGAAGATAAATATATTTTAAAACATTTATTACAATTTAGATGTAACCAGATTTAATATTCACAATAACAAATAAATTTTTTGAATAATTCAAATAAAAGAAAAATCATTGATTATTTCTCTTTTAAAAGTTTGATTTGTAAGTTTCATGTTAATCAAAACAACATTCAAGCTTAGATTAAATTTTAAGCAGTGATTACATACTGATTTTGGTGGTGGGTTACTGATCATGGTGGTTATGCTAGGTTAAAATTTATTTTTGATAATTAGTAAAATTTATTACTATATTAGTAAATATGGACCCTCAATTATATTTATATTAAAAAGTCTCAAAATTTTATTGACAAAAATATTTAAAATTTAAAATTTAAGACTTATTATCATATAGTTCTAGATAAACTATTATATAAAAAGAATCTTCACAAGTTATCACAGTTGCTAAGAGTTTTGAGAAAAGATAAATCATAGCTATTTATTCCGGTTCAGTTCACTTCACCAACATTCATTTCATAGAAATAACATTTCACTGACAACAACTCACCGACATGTTATTTTACTGATATTTATTTTTCATTTCACTAACAGTTTATTTTACCAAAACTTATTTCACTGACAAAATAATTCTGGTCATTGTTGTTAAGGTCAGGTTAAAATTAGAATTAAGGTTAATGGAATTTATAAAAAAAAATTTGTCTATGAAATGAGCTTCTGTGAAATAAATTGTTGGTGAAATAAACTTGTCTGTAAAATAAGTGTCAGTGAAATAAACATGGTGAATTTTTTTCAGTGAAATGTTATATCTACAAAACAAGCATTGGTGAAGTGATATATATCCATTTATTTAATATATATAATAATTCCCTCTTTAAATATTTTAGCTTCCATACTACTTATTATTGAATTGCTAATAGATATTTTTAGTCACAATTAGGTAATGATATCAAGAACTATATTTATATCTGTGATATGTATTAAAAAAAAGAAAACCTAATACTCATGAATCTTTATATCCAATTAAGATTAAAAAACCTTTTGATCATATTGGAATTGATATTATAATCTGTATAAACATGTTGGTAAATTTTTTTCAGTAAAATGTTATATCTACGAAATGAGTGTTGGTGAAGTGATATGTATCTATTTATTCAATATATATAATAATCCTCTCTTTAAATATTTTAGCTTCCATATTACTTATTATTAAATTGCTAATAGATATTTTAACCACAAATAGGTAATGATATCAAGAACTATATTTATATTTGTGATATGTATTAAAAAAAAGAAAACCCAATACTCATGAATCTTTATACCTAATTAAGATTAAAAAACTTTTTGATCATATTGGGATTGATATTGTAAGTTTTCTTTTTATAACTTGTATAAACAAAAAATATTATTGTTGCTACTGAGTATCTTACTAAGTAGTTTAAGGCTTAGAGTTTGAACCTGTTAACTACATATTTGAATATTTACATAGTTAACTGCATATTTGAATACTATAAATATGTCATAGATAACAACTCTTATCTATTGATTTTAAAAGGATAATCTAATAGGTATTTGTAGATATCCACAAATATCTAGATATTAAGTAATTCATGGCATCAATGATACAAATATATTGTAAAAAAGTAGGTTTGGGATGGCTAGTATTTACAATCTAAAAGCAACAAAAACAAAGGCTACCCAAAAACCAAGAATTCTACTACTATTAGGATTCTAGCTTAATTGTTAAATAGTCTTTATTATTATAATAATTATGATAAGTAATTCATACTCATTTATATAATTTTTTTTTTTTTTTGGTATTAAGGTGACCTCTTTGGTTTGGGGAACTTTTTATTAGAGTATAGACGAAGTTTTATATGT